AAGGTTGGTCTTCACTCTTTAGCAAGTGTGTAAAGCTTAATTACCTCCCAGAAGTAACAAGTGTGGATACACAAACATACCTTTTTGCAGATGATACCAAATTCTACCGTCCTATATTCAACACCCAGGATTGCGAGTGTCTACAAGAAGGCCTGCATACAGCACAGCCATGGAACAAAAAGTGGCTCCTGTTCTTCCATCCAGATAAATGCAAATCCATGCGGATTGGTAAGATTGACAGCAGCAAATTCACATACATTTTATAAGATGGAAAAGAACTTGCATATACCGAAACTGAAAAAGATATCGGAGTCACTATCGACAATAAACTATCATTCAATGTCCACATTTCTGAAAAAATAATCTAAGCCAATTCCATCATGGGGTGATCAGAAGAACAATGGAGTATATGGATCTCACTACATTTACAGCACTATAAACAGGTCTGGTGAGACCACATCTAGAGTATGCTAACCAGGTCTGGAGTCCGCATCTGATCAAACACATAGAATCAGTAGAAAACGTACAAAGGACAGCTACTAAGCTAATACCAGGAATGGCTTATCTATCATATCCAGAAAGATAATAAGTAATGAGTAATAATGTATGTCCCGTTCCCATTCGGGCCAAAACTACCTACAAAACTACAAAACTATATTTTTTAGGTGATAATATGCCAAGCTACTGTAATGACACAACAAAACAGGTAAATTCGTTGAGATCAATGTGTTACCGTGTTAATCTCGAACAAGCAAATTCGTGTAATTTATATCCCCCGCTTTCAGGACATATTGTAGGTTAACATTATTGAGGTTAGGTTTAAACATGTGAGTATTGTGCTGTTGAGACATAATGTATAGCTTGAAACTCAACGAAAAAAGCCTTATCTAATATTTGCTAGAGTTATTATGCGGAAACTGCTGATAATGACTCCGCCAAATGGAGTCCAATTAAAGTGGTTGTCAGAGTTGGCGAGCCCTTAATGCGTTGAACCCTGTTACTAAGTTTGAAGACCATAGGATAATATTTGCGAGATGAACAAAAGCGGCAGATAATGACGTTTTTCGTTATTCAAGGCGCAATTACTCCGCCAAATAAAGCCCTCGGAAGGTGGTCGTCAACGTTGGTTAACCCCTAAAGCATTTAACCCTTGTACCAAGTTTGAAGAAAATCAGTTAACATTTGTTGCAGTTATTGGACGGAAATGGCAGATAATGACGTTTTCGTTATTCAAGGGGCCATAACTCCGCGAAATAAAGTCCCCTGAAAGTGGTCATCGTACTTGGCCGATCCCTTAAGGCATTTAACCATGTGACCAAGTTTAAAGAAAATCGGTTTACATTAGTTATTGCACAGAAACGAAGCGTGACAGACAGACATAAAGACGGACGAACCCAAAATAATATCCCCCGTTTCGGTGAAAGCGGGGGATAATTAATGTAAGTGCTATATTTGGAAATTAAAAAAACCTCATCAGAAATTGTTAAAAATACATAATAACATGTATATTATGCGCCATTTTTTTTACCCTTTTGACCCTGCATGGAGGCTAGCAACTTACCCCAATATTCTTAATTTCAAACATCATGATGGTTTGCATTCTGGTCGTTTAAAGAGAACGACTGACATTGCGCCATGTCCTATATATGTTCTTAATATATCATGGTCAAATAGTTCGAAGCCATATTAACTGCCTACGGTTTCATTTTTTTTTATATGTAGTAACATGTTTTAGGTTTTATTCTGTTTTAACGTCCTATTAACAGCTTAGGTCATTTAAGGGAGGTGCCTCTATAATAATAAATATAATAATAATAATATACAGCATTTATATAGCGCCCTATATAATTTGTAAAATTACTCTAAGGCGCTTTACAACATATGGATAATAGTAATGGTTATAATTGTGAAAACAAACAACAAAGGCAATCACTTTCATACATTTAACAAGCATTGTGCACATAATTGAACAAATAAAAGGGTGGTATTTACAGGACGTCTTTGCAAAGATTCCAAAAGGCAGACGTGAAGAGGTGAGTTTTTATGTCCCTCTTGAACTTAGCCAGGGTATTCGACTTCCTAATAGCAGATGTTAAGCTATTCCACAACGTAGCCGAAACCCTCCCAAAGCATCTGTTTCCGTAGGTCACAGTACGAAATTTTGGGACACACAACAAAGACTCTGACTCCGACCGCAGTGATCTTGACGGCTGATACAGGGTATCAAGTTCCTGTAGGTACTGAGGAGCTGTTCCATTCAGTGCTTTGTATGTGTATACCAGAATTTTGTACTGCGACCTGTATCGTACAGGTAACCAGTGCAACGAATAAAGCGCAGGTGTGATGTGCTCTCTCTTTCGAGTACGAGTATCTAGCCGTGCTGCAGTGTTCTGAACCCTCTGCAGACGACTAGTTAGTTTGTCAGATATACGACAGATCAGGGCGTTACCATAATCCAACCGAGAGGTAACAAGTGAATGCACCAAAATGTTGCATGCATCTGCAGTTAGAAACTGCCGAATACAGCCGATGTTCCTGATCTGGTAGTAACAGGGTTTGGCAGCTGGAACAGTCTCAATAGTTCTGGCACCAACCTTAAGCTGGAGAGCCATTGTTTGCTGACACTTTGGGGAAAAGACGATTAGCTCCGTCTTTTCCTGATTAAGTTTAAGCATGTTGGCGTTCATCCAGATACTGATATCTGTCAGACAATCTTCCAGACTTTCTGAGACTGTATTCCAACTGTCCTGTGGTTTTATGACCATGTAAATTTGTGTGTCATCAGCATAGAAATGATAGCGAAGGCTATGGCGACGACAAATCTTTCCAATCGGTTTGGAGTACATACAATATTTTCGTGGTCCTACCACCGACCCTTGAGGGACCCCGAAATCTAGTACTTTGTCATGTGAGGTGGCAGATCCGATGGCAACACACTGTAGTCGTTCACTCAGGTATGACTGTATCCAGCATAGTGCGGTATCAGTCATTCCATAAGAGTATTCCAGACGTGTATAAAGTATGCCATGGTCGATGACGTCAAATGCAGCTGACAAGGCCAGCATGACAAGCACCGCTCTGCACTTGCTATCCAATGCAGAAGATATATCATTATGTACACGTATGAGGGTTGTGTAAGCGTGCGTGTTTGTTGGTGTGCCGGAGGCAGGGTATCTTAATTTACTTGCCTCCATGTGATAGCGCGGATCCGGTGCCGACTTAATAGTGCTGTCTCACTGAAATACTATGCCGAATTAAGGCACACCTCACAGCAAACCCGCCCTGTCACATTATACTGACAACGGGTGAACCAGTTATTGCCATTCCCCCAAATGCTGAACGTTATCATTAACGTCAAAAATGCTGATCAGTAAATAAAAGCCATTTTTAAATATTAGTGTTGGAAGCAGTTTCATCATGTTCATATTGTATCAAACACATTCTTACAGGAATTTATATGTCTGTTTAGGTAAAGGGTACCACTGCATCAATTTTATTATTGTGTAGAAGATTTCCACTAAACAGTTTCCTTGACTTTGAATATTCCCTCCAATAAATAGAACAAGACACAATCCCCTGTGAGAAGTTTTTCATATGCTTTGGTGCCAATAAAATTGTGCTTTTTGTGCTGTGTTTATTGAATGTAGGCTTTCTAATGTAAAGGAACCCATTTTTTTTTATACCAATTGTCAAACATTCAAATTTCAAACAAGAACAATTCTGTCAAAAATGGATTTTTACAAAAAAAAATCATTTGAAAAGACCTTAACCGAAACTTTCATAATAAAGAAAATGGCAAAAAATATAGTTTAACTTGTTGGTGCCCTTAGGCTTAAATTTGCTCTATTTGTTTTTATCACTCTTTTTGACCTGGGTGTTAGCGAGCGGGGGCTCTTAAATCGGAAAACCAAGAGTTTGGTTTGGTTTAGTATTGTATAACGTCCTATCAACAGCTATGGTCATTTAAGGACGGCCTCCCCCGTGTGCAAGATGCATGCGTGTAGTGTATGCGTGTGTGTTTTGGGAGGCTGCGATATGTTCGTGTTTGTCTCCTTGTGATAGCGCGGAACTGATGCCGACTTTACAGTGCCACCTCACTGAAACATACTGCCAAAGACCCAGCAGGACACCCCACCCGGTCATATTATACTGACAACGGGCGAACCAGTCGTCCCACTCCTAAATTGCTGAGCGATAAGCAGGAGTAGAAACTATCACTTTTACAGGCTCTGGTATGTTTCGGGTGGTCGGGTATGTGACCACATAACTTTTAACCTCCGAAAGGGGAATCGACCTCGGCCGCCTTGGTGAAATGCAAGTGCGCTATATACTGTGCCACTAGCCATTACTCTAGTAATGAGAAAAATAACACAAACATTTTTTCGGAGAATGCTTTTTAAAAAGTAACAAATTTATTTTCATAATGCATATATCATTATATCAATAAAAAAGTTTCATTTTAAGTACAGCAAATGGGACGCTGTAGCCATTGGCTGCCGTTCGGTAAACGAGTAAGTTACCGCTCCTAATGGCCAAAAGAGCGACAATGGATATATTTCATTTAGAAATGTATTCAACACAACCCGTCTGAAATGTCTAATCTAAGATATCAACATCGAAACATTTAAACAAAGACAGACAAGCCTATCAAGTGCCAGTGCACACTTGACAGTTCAAGTGTTATTTCTAACCTCACCCGCTCCTCAAATATAGAAATAATAACATCATAATAAACCTATTTCTTCTTTGAACCGTGACGGACTATACTCCAACGGCCGGAATCTCCACTCAGTCAATAGAATAGTTAAATGTGTATATATCTATAGGTAAATAGTGAACCTACGTACATCTGTCAACACGTAGTACAAACATTTTGAGATTTGATATGTACATATATTTAGACGTGGACGCATTTAAGGATATACAAAGTCACGATTAATTGGGAGCAGTACTTTTTGAAAGACTCTAGGATTTGAAAACACTGACCAAGTGAAGAAGCTATGACAATGCACTACATCTATGATGTTTCACTATTTATGCTGTTTGTGAGCGGAAGTTTCCGAATATGTCTCGGCAATTTGAATCGGTCTGAGGTTGAAAACTTGTACGCATATCTCCTACCGTCGGCAGCTTCTTCCACATACTACAAATATATCCGCCCGGATGTGGATCAAAGCTACGCCACTAATGTTACCACCGATCTGCATGTGACAAGTCTTCGCGAGGTAGACGAGATGACAGGTCGCTTTACTGTCGTAACCTTTCTAAACATTTACTGGAAAGACGAACGCCTCTCCTGGTCGCCTAGCTCATACGGGGATATACGTGAAATAGAATTCCCACAAAGTGAGGTTTGGAAACCAGCACTGACCCTTGCAAACCCTTTCTCACTTTTGAAACCTCTGGGATCCGACGGCAATCTTGTACGGTACACCAACAACGGTGACGCAACTTGGTACGTTGGTGACGTCATGCAGGCATTGTGCGACATAGAAGTTACGCAGTATCCTTTTGATAAACAAGTATGTCCATTGTATTTCCGTATATGGGGTTACGAAGGAAGTGACCTCACTCTGACACCATCAACAAATGATGTTGGTTTTACTTATTATGTAGAAAATTCAGAATGGGATATTACAAAAACTGAGAAGGAAGTTGTCGTCAATGAAGCTGCCTACATTGTCTATAAATTTCATCTGCAAAGAAAGTCTACATTCTTCCTCATCAGTATTTATATTCCAGTAGTACTTCTGACAGGTCTGTGCCCGCTAGTGTTTCTACTTCCGGCTGACTCTTGTGAGCGTGTAAGTTACAGTATCACGTGTCTCTTGGCAATAGCTGTGTTTCTTACGATTGTTTCTGAAAGTCTACCAAGGTCCTCAAGTCCAATGTCAGTCTTGAGTTTTTTCCTTGTGTGTGACTTCGTCCTTGCGACATGCCTGTGTGTATTGACTGTACTTGGACTCCGAATGTACCACAAGGACGAAAAAGAGGATGAGGTACCTGCTATACTAAAGAAAATTGCGGCCTTCAAATGTTTCCGTTGTGACAGTGCTACAAAGGGAGATACACCTTCCAGCCAAACAGCGGTTATCGAGATAAAAGAAAAATCTGCACACGAAAAGACAGTCGAGTTTGAGGAAGTGACATGGAAAACTGTTGCCCGGATGTTTGACCTCTTGTGCTTTTTCCTTAGCATTGGCGCATGTGTTGTACTTCTTGTTGTTTACCTAATGTACACAAATATTGTTTAGGGAGTTATTTTTATTACATTTGTTCTTTCATTTCTATTCATACTTATGAGCATTTCAGTCATCGTATATATAATGTAACAATGCTCTATAGTCAACAGGGCACAAAAGCATGCATGGCATAGATTATAATATACATTTATTGCCTTAGCAGGATTCAATGTTTTCCCAAGATTAATCATGTTCCATGAGGACGAAGTATTAAGTGAGGGTAAAAATAATCCTGGAAGGCTATACAATCTGTTTGTACAAAGTTGATTTCACTTTGCCCTTTGCTACTTTAGACCAAATTTGGTTTTAATATCTCCATTCGTACGGAAGAAGAAGGATTTTAAACACCCGTCCATCTGCCCCTGACACCCCACACTCTTCGTTGTTCCGTTTTGCCCAATGATGCTCCTGGCCAAATTTAGTCAAAGTCCACGTGAGCCGTTCAGGACAAGTAGCGTTTTAAAGAAGATGACCGACGGACGTCGCGCCACAACAAAAGCACACCGGTACTTTTGATCAGGCGAGCTAAACATCTATTGAACCACTAGATCTACTTAAAACATGCCAAGCTCCCTGTCAGAATGTTCCGCCGAACTTACAGCGAATATGACTTGAAAAAAGTGTTTGTTAATCAGTCAAATGCTGTTTTCATGTATAGACGAGCGATGTCCTATAGATTTGTGGATTTTATTGATTTAAATAAACATCTGGCATAAAGAATGACGTCAGTGTTTTTAACGCCTGTTGACCAAATTGCGACTGATAATAAATAAAACATATTACGCAAGTGGTTTTATGTGTCTTTGTATGTACATTCTCCGCCATTTTTGCTGTTCTGAAGATGAAGATGATCACGTGGTCTCTCGGTTATATAATAATGAGGCATTAGGGGTTTGATCGTTCGTTTGTTTGTTTGGCGTATAATGTCATCGCAACAGCTAGGGTCATATGGAGACGGATGTAAAGGGAGACACTGTCAAGAGAAAAAGAAAAGATCGATCAAAAGAGTTGCAATGGTGACAGCAGGGTCAGTGTCTTCTGCTTCATCGACGACACCCGCCGTGTAAATCTGGGTCAAATCCAAGTAATGTCACGCCCGCACACCGAGAACTCGGGTAGTTACAACAAAACTACAAGGCACACTAAAGAGCATAATAAAAAAACATGGACCCTTATATCACGCAATAATAGCATATGAGAACACAGTCATTGGGGTGCATTTACCAAGAACGATTTAGGCCCATATTCCTGAAGTCGTTCTCATGCACAAGCATGGATTATATGCTCAAACCAGTTCAAATTTCTTGTACCTCGCTTAAATCATGTCAAACGATCAAAAAATCAAATATAAACATTGAGAAACGTTTTCGGCATTAAGCTTCTTTCATGTTTTTCTAAATCATTGAATATAACGAGAACAAGAAATTCGGCTTAAACACAAAATCTACGCTTGAACACGAGAACGTTTTTATGAATACGAGCCCTGATGCTTAGAACAGGATCCGAGAAGTCACGCAAGAAAGACTTGTATGTTACTTCCTAGAGAAAGTTAGCGATAATGTATATTTAAAATTGGTGCTACATGTATCATCCTCTCGTTGTACGTGGCAATATTTTCCTTGCATTGCTATTTAAATAAATGGTCCTCTTTTCAGTAGACATGTCGTCATTTGATCTGATCTATTTCGAGGAGGAACAATGGTTTTGTTTTTTGTTTTTATTTTGTTTAACGTCCTATTAACAGCTAAGGTCATTTAAGGACGTACCTCCATGTGTGTTGTGTAAAAGTGCACGCGTGTATGTGTGCTGGCGACAGCGCGGATCTGATGCCAACTTTATAGTGCTATCTCATCGAAATACCATGCCGAAGGCACACAGCGCAGCATATCGCCCTGTCACATTATACTGACAACGGGTGAACCAGTTGTTGCCATTACCCTAAATGCTGAACGTTAAGCAAGGAATAACCACTACCATTTTTAAGGAATTCGGTATGTTCCGGCCTGGGGACAGAACCCATTGCTTTCCTCACCTGGGCGAACGTTCAACATTAAAGCCAAACGTTAGGTATTGCCAAGCAAGACGTTAGGAAATAAAGGTAGTCAGAAGTAGAAAGAAATATAATGATCCCAACAATTGCAATTGGTGCAGCAGATCCATTTTGGTCGCTTTTGTGTCCCCTAGTTGAGGTCACAAAAGCAAATCCCTAATTCTGCAGGGGGTTATCGCATTAGTCGCCTCTTACGATGCATGCAGTGGGCAACAGCAGGCGTATTCTTTTCTCGATCCCCGACCTGCAGTGGTGAGGAGGAATAACCACAACCAAATAAACAGGAAAGTTATAACAGGCAGGGCACGTTATCTATTATGTTATAGTTTTTGTTTACAGCTTCGCAACATTGAAGATCATATCAAGGATTGTTTACATGTACATTCAGCAACATAGAATATTCGTGATACATCGTTATTCATTGTAAGTGAGATGAGTATGCTTTACTTACTAGACAAGAAACATGCATTGTAAGTGAGATGAGAATGCTTTACTTACTAGACAAGAAACATGCATTGTAAGTGAGATGAGAATGCTTTACTTACTAGACAATTGTTGCATGAAGTCCTGAGTGCCCTGTTATTTTTTTAAGTTGAACACATTCTGATTGAAGAAGTTTTATCAGTTGAATTTTCGTTGAAATTGAATACGGTTTCTATTCTAGGAACGTTTAATACCATTTTCTAAATATTTATGAAAATATTGTTAACTGTATCATCTTGTTTTATAACCTTTTGAATATCTACCCTTTTTGTATGTGCCATGTTTGTTGATTCGTGCTTAATGGTCCCTCGACACAAGGACATTTTGGACCTAAAGCGCCAAAGGGAATTTTAAAAGACTTCACATAAGCAACTAAAAGAATAAAATGTGTAAATGTGTCAATAATCCAAATAAATATAGTTTGATTTATTTTTTTATTGTTTTTAGTTTAAGTTAAGGAAACACAAAGAAAATAAGATGACAAAAGGCCACATAGTCACACATATTAGAATTGAATGTTGGTATCTAATAATAATAGTTCCAATAACTTGATTTAAGGATGTATGCTATGCTTCTCTGACTTGTTTTTCCACTCTTACGAACCGTTACTAAATTGGTTTTATGTGATTAAGAGTTAATAAACAGCTGAAGTTATTTAAAGACGTGCCTTAGTGTGCGTAATGAATGCATGTGTGCTGGAGATGGTATATTGGTGTATTTGCCTCTATGTGATAGCGCGGATCTGAAGTCGACTTTCGAGAGCTACCTCGGGAATACTATGACGAAAGCACCCAGCACAGTTAACACCCGTTCACGTTATATTGACAATAGGTAAACCAGTCCTAACAGCTACCTTTTAAAATTAAACGCAATGAAACAGCGAATAGATGTTCCTTAATTAATTGACGAGATATATGGAAATTACACAACAATGTTTTTATCGATAACACTTCAGCAATATTGACTTATTGCAAAATCCTATTTACAAAATTGTACTGGACATAGCAAACGATGCGTTAAATGTGATATATATCAAATTCTGTAAGCATGACACCTCGAAAGTTGAAGATACCAACAAGTTTAACAATATCATTACCATTTTTACCACTGCGCACTCGTGTAAGATTTCAAACTATTAGCCACCCTCGTGAAATATATTTGGTATTTCGAAAAATTGAATGTTTGAAAATAGAAATAAATATTAATAAAAAGCCGGGTTCGAACTCTGAACCTTTACATTGCAAAGTCTACACTTTTCTTCCGATATTGCCATACAGGTATCATACAGACACAGCATCAAATTAGTGTCCAATTTATGGGTAACAAAACACAATTAAAAACTTGACAGGAGAAGTATTTCTAAGCCAGAAAAGGGAGACTACTCCAAGTCAACAAAACTCTGAGTGAAACTCTTCTTCGTGAGTGGAACTCTTCTTCGTGAGTGGAACTCTTCTTCGTGAGTGGAACTCTTCTTCGCCATTATAAATGGTGCAGTGGTATCCTTAGCCTCAAGAGTCGTTAACATACATATTGTTATAGAAAAAAAAACTACGCTCATCTCATTTATCTTACAAAACGAAACAAACGAAAAAAACAACAGTTGGACCCATCTTCTTAAAAGCATCAGAAACAGTCTATAACCATTAACATGTAAACTGCCACAACCTGTAGATCGATTATCTAAAATAAATATTAAAAACGTCAGTGATGAGTCTAAACGATGTATCAGTTTGGTTTATTTAGTATCCGAATCATATTATAATACATTATTTGTGCAAGAAAACTTCCTTTATTTATCGTGTATCTACGTATACGTACGTATATGGTATTTTGTCTTGTTTAGATATTGGTTTAGGTTTATACAAATAACTTTAAATGTTTCTTATATAAGGATCCTTAACGGGGATTTAAATAACTGAAAGACGCCATGAAACATCTGGAGAATTCGGACCGTGGAAAACAAATACTGTATAAATGCCAAGATAAACAATCTTATTAAAAGTTAAGAAAGAATCAAAACGTCTACAATCCAATAAACTAACAATTTTATTTGAACAATGAGCACGGTTAAAACACTATCTTAGGAGGACAATTGTATCGGGAAAGTATCAGTATTTCAATCTTATCTTGTTTATCGTTTGGAAATTCACAATGGTAGTTTTATATCTGTTCAGGGTATTGTGTATCTTAATGAAAGAGTAGGCCTAAGACTGTATTGTTTAATTTGATTAAGGCGAACATTGCGATTCGCATCAACATGAAAATATCATTATTTGTTATTTCATGTCAAATAATTTCAGTTAGTACAGTAAATGATCCAATTATAAAAATGAAATCAACTTGCTGTCGAATTAAGTATATCTCTTAGGAAGGAACAAAAGACTTAAGCATTGTCAGCATGCAATACGAAATAGCGATTTACCTATATAAAGTTTTCGTTTAATGTCGGAGCCGGATATCATAGTCTGTTTGTTTAATCTCCTACTAATTGACGCGCACAGACAATATACAAGATTTACACAGATACCTATGGTCTCGTTGCCAGTATATATAATGTGACCAGGTGGGGAATACCATGCTGAGTGCTTTGGCATGGTATTTCAGTGAGATAGCACTCGGAAGTCGGCATTAGACATGTATCATAATCAACGCTATCATAATGGGATAATACATGCGTGATCTGGAGGCGGTGTATTCGTGATTTTCCGTCCTTGCGATAAAGCGGATATGATGCCGTCTTAAAAGTGCTATCCCACTGAAATATACCATGCCGAACGCAACAGGCACTGTTATCCACCCGATAATATTATACTGAAAACAGGTATTCCGATCGGTCTGTTGGTTGGTTGGTTGTATAGGATTAATGTCTTATTAACGGCTGAAGTTAATAAAGGACGCGCCTCCATATGTGTGTTATGCAAGCGTGCATGTGTTGGACTGGCAAATTCACATCTAGCTTGCCTTACATCTACTTTTCGACTTGACTTTTTTTGTAATGATCTAGCAACATTTCCAACTATCGCAATTAGGAAGTCTGATTTAAGAACGGATTACCATCAGTTTATCTGATGATTTTGTTTGTTTTGGTTCTAACGTCCCCGCAACATCCATGGTCATACCTAAAATGAACAAGGACGGATGCCTAAGGAGACACCGCAGGAAAGAGAAAGTAGATAGGAAAGAAAGGAATAAGAAACAAAGAAGGATCCAAAGTGTCGATTGGAGCAGCAGATCAATTTGTGTCTCTTCCATGTCCTTTTATTAGAAGGCACGGAAGAAAAATCCCAATTCAGTAGATGGCTAAAACTAGGGCATTTTAAGATAAACATAACGTGGCATACATCATGCATTGAAGAAACTAACAGTATGCTGTACTACAGTGATGAATCCACGACGACAAATTCAGAATATGGAAAATATGTACGTTTATTTCTGAATAATGAGTTTTTCTTATTTTAATACCAAGTTGTGGGTTCGGCATAATAACTATGACATGAAAGATAAAACAAGTTCCTAACTAATGCGTTGGCGTTCTGTAACAGTAAACACTTATATTGTAGACGTTTGAAATCTTAAGGTGTTCGAGTTGGTGGAAATTGAAACATGCTATCAGCTTTTATTAAAATGGTGCTTTAAAATGTCTAGTCGTCCAATTAACGTTTCTTAAGAACGAGCCCTTTACGTTTACGATTAAATCTTTTCAAATTTTGTATTTCGTTAGGCATACTTGTCGAAACATCATTACTGAACCACACGGAGGGCAACCAATATTGATTGATTTATAAAATTTCGTTTTATACCAGTTGATCAATTTAATTGGGTAAGATGATATCAGGGCCGAGTATGATTCGATTTACACTACCCAACGTTTCTTTTGTACAATACATGTTGCGATTTGTACCGATTTACGTCTGTTTTCTCTAAAACTTAGAATACGTGATTGTTATTCATTTCTCTCTCTTAAATCCATCAACAAAAAAGGCGAATTGGTTTGTTTTGTTCGTGGTTTAATGTCCGCTAATCATTTAAGGTCATGTAAAAACAGGTCCCTAGGGGGACATCGACGAAAACAAGTAGAAGACAGAGAAAGTTGTAATCGGGGCGGCCAATCAAACGTGGTTTCTTTAATGTCTTTTTAGCAGAAGACACAGATTCAACAAGAACCTGACTTCCATTGCTCCAGACGTAAATGCAGGTACTTTGATTTTTTCCCGAAATCTATTATCTAAACTTAATTATCTCTAAACGCGTTTATAGCTTTAGTGAAAAAAACTGACAATGCTGGATCAAAATATACGAAGGTAAGTCCGATGTTTTGTATGTTTGAACTAAATTTTAAATAGTAAATATCTCCTATGTATTGACCTATGAAACTTTCCCGTTCTCAGTGCGCATATCCAACACATTGTCTGCAGGTGTCACCCTAATTCAATAACGTCTCAAGATACTCTGACGTATTTCGGTAAATATTGATTTCATACGAGTTAAAGAAAGACTTAAGACAGACCGTACTGTACACAAAGATCAGTTTCAAGCTAGGATAGACAAAACAACAGCTTTAGGAATAATTGATATGCTGGATACATAAACTCTGTCTGATGATATTCAGCGTAACATTTTCATGTCACGTATACGATTATGGTGCATGGTATTCAGATTTCAACGACAAGCATTTGAAATGAAATTTCTTACATATTTTGCAGGTTAATTGAAGACCTGAAGTAATTTTAGTGACATTAACGAATTTTCATCAAGTGAATAGTGTTTTTTATATTGTTGATAAAGTTAATGATTTACATGTTCATTGCGCATGATAGTTATTTGTGCAATAACTGACCGGAAGGTGGATTGTGTACCTCGTACAATACAAACAGAATGGGTCTTTTGTACTATTTGAGTCAAATTATCATAATTCTGCTATTCACTGAATTTTGTTCTGGACAAAACAGGAGTTATACTGAAAAACTCTACGACACTGTACTAACAAACTATAACCGATATATCAGGCCAAATGATAACCAGTCTGAAAGCACGACGGTTTATGTCAATTTTTTTATGCTGAGTCTAAAAGACTTCGACGAAGTGACCGGGAAATTTTCCGTCGTTGGTTATTTTTATTTGATTTGGAACGACCCAAGGATGTTGTGGAATTCAGCAAATTACGACAACGTTGAAACACTTTATATCCCGCAAAGTTTGGTATGGAAGCCGGAATTGACACTAGTTAACGCGTACCAGCACATCAGAGGTGTCGGGTTTGACGATCTGCCAATATTATATTATTCCAACGCAACAGCGAGATGGATGGTTGGTGAGGTGATGGATACGACGTGTGACGTAGATGTGACGTACTTCCCTTTTGACAAACAAACATGTAAACTAGAATTTGCAGCGTGGGGATACACCTCAGAACAGTTGACATTTCAGATGTTGCAAGAAAATATTGTTTTGACACAGTTTTCTGAGAATGTAGAATGGGTCATTACGAAAACGAAGGGGTACGAGATCACAACACGTGACCACGCCGTCATTGTTTACGAAGTGGTGATGGAAAGAAGATACACATTTTTCATAGTAAACGTCTTTGTCCCGGTAATAATGTTGACACTTTTGAGTAATATGGTGTTTCTGTTACCTGCGGATTCTGGTGAACGTGTTGGATACGGTATAACATGTCTCCTAGCCGTGTCCGTGTTTCTGACAATTGTTTCCGACACGTTGCCGAAAGCTTCTAACCCGGTGTCTGTGTTGACCTTTTTCTTAATGTGCGATTTCGTGGTGTCCACATCAATCTGCATTTTTACGATTTTAGGTCTCATACTCCATCATAAAGACGTTTCTAAACCAGTGCCTAAATGGGTGAGACACGTCACGGATTTCTTCACGTGCAAGGTTCGTGTGTCACAGAAACCCCAACGTCATATCACAAGAGTTCGAGAGGTCAAGACAAACAACACCGAAGAAACTTTTCCATCAGAACAAAACGCACCTAAATCAACTGGTGATATTCATGTGATGGTTCAAATAGCCCACAATGAGACAGTTATTAAAACTCCGGAGATGACACCAAGATCAAAAACTAAATTAGACTATTTACATATGTCGCGTGACAGGAAAGTTCTCCCAGTTCCGGTTGAAGCTGAACCGGAAGTGGTTACTGAAGCTGAACTTGAAGAGTATACCTGGAAAAATGTGGCAAACATATATGACACAGTGTGTTTTGTTTTCGGAATCTCTGTTGTTTTGATTCTTATGGTGGTATACACTATGTTTACAAATCTTGTTTGAATGGTGACTTCATCTTCCCCTGTTTGTTTGTTTGGATTGAATTATGAAGGCATTGAATATACATTTCCAGATATTTTTTTTCAAATTCCATTTTTTTTTTTTTTTCTCAAATGAATCACTTGTATTTTGAGAATGATATATTTTCGCATCAACGATGGGGATGAGTCCGTTGCGAACTTTCCTGGGGTAATGTTTCTGGCTAAATGTGTTGTTGATGATTGAGAGAATTTAAAATTTTCGCGATTGCTTAGTTTTAAGAGCGATAACTGAAAATGAAATATGTTCTCAGCAATTAATAGATTTGCCGAAGAGAAATCAAACATTCATTTTTAAAAAAAAAAGCTTAATTTTGTTATTTACATTCAAAACGTCCTAACGTCTTCTTAGATAAATTGCTACTTTTCATCAATATGAAATTCTATGGTGTTTTACTCATGTTATCTGAACAATCACGTCTTCCGTGATACCCAGTTAACACACCCCTATCTCATTTTTATGTATTACGTCATGATAGACAGTTTATCAACCATTGTGATGTCATAATAAGGACAACTACCATGAAGGTACAATACTGTGACGTCGAAATGTAGTCAACAAACGTGACGTCAAACTGGTGACGTTAAAGAAATAATAAATAAAAACAATCATTTTTTTCGTGAATGGTTCAATAAAATGTCGGCCATGGGATACAAATTAAGCTCGTTTCCATTTAACATAGATTTGATTAACTAAATACGCGAAACTTATGAAAGTATTTTCATAATATTAAATGAAATCGAAAACCATTTAAAGTCCTATTTGTATTGAAATGGATTTTAACTTTGTGATATTCAGATGCTTTGAATATTAACTTACACGTCAAAGAAACCGTATAAAGTTGTTTTTTTCAGATTAACTGATAAAAAAATATTTATTTATTATACTATTTTGTACGTAATAATGAATTAAATCATGCTTCTTCGATATTATTCAATGAATGACTATTGCCACGTTCTTCACGGCCCATCAATACAGAGTAGGTAGATTATTAGGGCCAATAAAAGGTAAATAATAATTTCACATCAATGTAAAAAAATACTCTTTAAAAGAAATGACATCTAACATAGTTAAGTGAAAGACAAACGTCAAGCTGGAAAGTAAAAGTGGCTTATTCAATGAATGAAAGTGACCATTAGAGAGTATGTTATTATGTACAGCATGTCATTATCAATCAACATTGATTAATAATCGTATAATGTAATAAACAAAAAAACACCTCGACCTTTTTGTGCTTTTTCACGTCACCTGAACCAATGTATGCATTTAACCTGTAAAGCGATTTGACTAAACAGACTTACAATTTCATGCACTGACTTGACTGTATGGTGAATTGAAGTAACTACATCCGCCACAGGGATAATTAAAGGTACAAAATTATAAATAAGGAAGGGGTCGTTACGATGAAACAAACGGAAAACAACACGATCAAATCAGTACCAAGATCTCGTTTTCCGGATCGTATGGATGCAATTTAGTGTATTCATCTATTTGTCTTTGGTATAAAATGATCATGAACGTTTTTGTTTAGTTGATCAGAGGCGAAACTAAGTCTTCTGAATGTTTTCGGCACCAAATGCAACACCCGTTCTGATGTCAACTGCAAATCACTTCAGACCTGAACATTTTGAAAATAACTTGATTTGTGGGGAACTTTTAAACGAGATCTGAGGCGAGGTGTACTCATAGTTTCCCATTTGCTTAAAAATATAAACCCTTTGCAAACAAATATTCACCTTTAACATTAAATTATATCCAAAAACTTTTACCATGTTTAAGTTTAAAAGGTAACACACTCATCTTGAATCCTATAGAGAAAATATTTATTTTGGAAAGTTAGCAAGTTAATTCGTGTTTATATAACGAGAGACAGACAAAGTTTGTTAGTGCGTGGTATTATTGAAAATTGGTCATGTTTACATTGTAAAGTTGACGAGACACATTAACGGTACGCAGGAATACCCAATACCTTAGCTGTTGAGAGGACGGATTTGCTTTGGTTTTATAGAGTAAATAGCGTTTTAACAGAAAATTGAATCCCAAAAAAACAACTCAAGATATATTTGGTTTTAGTTCCTATATGGTCTTACATCCTATTAACAGCTAAAGTATTTCAAGGATGTGCTTCTATGCATGCAATCATGTGTGTATGTGTGCGGGGGACAGGATAAGTTGGTGTATTTGCCTCTTTTCGATAGCGCGGATCCGATGCCGACTTTAAAGTGCCATCTCAATGAAATATCATGCCGAACGCTCCGAGCCAGCATAGCATTCCGCCCGGTCACATTATACAGACACGGTGAACCAGTTATTGCAATTTTCCTTACTGTTGAACGTTAAGCAGGTACTTACGATTACCATTTTGAAGGGATTGGTTTGGTTTGGTTTTATTTTGTTAAACGTTCTATTAACAGTTGTGTCATTTCAAGACGTGCCTCCATGTGTGTTTTGTAAGGGTGCATGTGTGGTTGTCGGCCGGAGACAAGGTATGTTGGTGTACTTAGCTCCTTGTGATAGTGCGGATCTGATGCCGACTTCATAGTGGTATACCACTGGATAACATGCCGAAGGCATCAAACATAGCATTCCGCCCTAGATACCGCATCATCCACCATAGAACATTTTATACTCCAACTGGGTTATTGGAGTTGTGTGGGTAGGAGGAAAACACTTTCTCTGAATATTCCATGTGTACGACGACTTCGGGGTTCGAACCCCGGCCGTTGCATGGAAGGCCGGAGTGTTAACCCACTAGACCAATCCACCCAATCTGCCTTCAGGGGATACGTGTAACGTAGCATATAACTGTAACACAAGTCATAGGTATACTATGTTAGTTACCATAAAGTCCTTGCTTTACAAGTCATTAGCATAATGTGCAAGGTACATGTAGCTTACATGCATTATCGTAACTTTCTCTTGGTGTTATTTTGTTAATCATCATATTGATTAACATCTATGGACATTAAAGGACCAGCCTCTATGTGGGTTATGCATACGTTCTTGTGTGCTGAAGGCGTCATGTTGGTACATGTATTTTGCCTCCTTCTAATAGTGCAGATCTGATGCCGACTTTAGTGTGCTATCTCGCTGGAATATCTCTGGGTGGAGGCGGTATGTTGCGACATATAATTTGCCTCTTTCCGATAGCGCAGATCTGATGCCGACTTTAGTGTGCTATATCGCTGTACTATCTTTGGGTGGTGGCGGTTTGTTGGCAAACTTATTTGCCTCCCTCCGATATAGCAGCTCTGATGCCGACCTTAGTGTGCTATTTTTTCTAAAATATCTCTGGGTGTAACAAGCAGCGGGACACGAACACATTTCTGTTTTTAAGTAGGTGTTAAACTTATCTGTAAAGACTCAATAGAAATCCTCTATCTACATTATAATACGTAAGATACGTTAAGCTTTTAAAAACACATCGCGGTTGACGTACATAAGACTTGTACTATTTATCATCAATACAGGGCGTATTTTAAGTTTTTGACCGATCCCTGGACCTTCCCTTTGTATCTTTGTTTGATTGTTTTGGGTTAATTTGACGTCCTCGCAACAGCCAGGGTAAAATGAGGACGTATACCTAGTGCGACACCGCCGCTTGAAAAACAAAGATTAGAAAGATAGGTAACGTAAAACTGTGTTTCAAAGGGGCAGCAGACCAATGGTGGGCTCTTCCATGTCCCCTTGTGTAGGAGGTCCCACAGCAGGCGCCTCTTACGATACACATTATAGTGGGATACAGCAGGCGCCTCTTACATACACATTATAGTGGGATACAGCAGGAGCCGCTTGCATACACATTATAGTGGGATACAGCAGGCGCCTCTTGCATACACATTATAGTGGGATACAGCAGGCGCCTCTTGCATACACATTATAGTGGGATACAGCAGGCGCCTCTTACATATACATTATAGAGGGAGAGAGCAGGCGCCTCTTACATACACATTATAGTGGGATACAGCAGGGGCCGCTTACATACATAGTATAGTGGGATACATCAGGCGCCTCTTACGATACACATTATAGTGGGATACAGCAGGCGCCTTTTGCATACACATTATAGTGGGATACAGCAGGCGCCTCTTACATACACATTATAGTGGGAGACAGCAGGCGCCTCTTGCATACACATTATAGTGGGATACAGCAAACGCCTCTTACTTACACGTTATATGTGGATACAGCAGGCGCCTCTTGCATACACATTATAGTGGGATACAGCAGGAGCCGCTTACATACACATTATAGTGGGATACAGCAGGGGCCTCTTACATACACATTATAGTGGGATACAGCAGGGGCCCCTTACATACATATTATAGTGGAATACAGCAGGCGCCTTTTACGATACACATTATAGTGGGATACAGCAGGCGCCTGTTGCATACACATTAAAGTCGGATACAGCAGGCGCCTCTTACATACACATTATAGTGGGATACAGCAGACGCCTTTTACTTACACGTTATATGTGGATACAGCAGGCGCCTCTTGCATACACATTATAGTGGGATACAGCAGGCGCCTCTTACTTACACGTTATATGTGGATACAGCAGGCGCTTCTTGCATACACATTATAGTGGGATACAGCAGGCGCCTCTTACATACACATTATAGTGGGATACAGCAGGCGCCTCTTACATACACATTATAGTGGGTACAGCAGGCGCCTCTTACATACACATTATAGTGGGATACAGCAGGCGCCTCTTACATACACATTATAGTGGGTACAGTAGGCGCCTCTTACATACACATTATAGTGGGATACAGCAGGCGCCTCTTACATACACATTATAGTGGGTACAGTAGGCGCCTCTTACCTACACATTATAGTGGGATACAGCAGGCGCCTCTTACTTACACATTACAATGGGATACAGCAGGCGCCTCTTACATACACATTATAGTGGGATACAGCAGGCGCCTCTTACATACACATTATAGTGGGATACAGCAGGCGCCTCTTACATACACATTATAGTGGGTACAGTAGGCGCCTCTTACCTACACATTATAG